TTTAGAAATAGGGCGTTGTGGGAGAACAACAGATGATGCACAGGCCTCAGAGCTGTAAAGCTGTAAGTTGTATTGTGTTAGGATGTAAAAATTAGGTATTTGCTCCAGCAGGTGTCTTGGGATGCTGAAAATCTGATGGGGTTTATTATGTTTTTTAGATAGAAGCAGGATTAACTTTCACATTTTCCTGAAGACCTCTTCCGGCATACAGATAATTTTCCAAAGAGGTGGGATATCTAAAAAAATAGTCTTTATTAGATTATCAATAAAAGCAAGCCCGGTGTTTTCTAGTGTAATGTGTTCCTTTGCATATGAGGTTTATTTATCATGATATGTTTCCCCAAGTAATGAAAAAGAGGGAGTAACATTTTTTTTTAAGTCCTTCAAGCTGTTTTAAAGTTTTGGCAGAAGTGTTACCTCCTTTTGTTTGGACTGTTATAATTGCAGTACTTGAGTGCAGGGTTGAAAGATTTGCTGACATTGAATACTATCATCCTCCTGCATCAAATTGTGCATATATTGCCTGGAAACTGCAGGGGTGGTATTTCTCATGCAAATATAGCTGCTCCTGAAGCTATAATGAAGTTTGGGTTCTCCAGTCTAGAGCTACAAGAGTGGATGTTGCAACTCAGGCAGCTGGTTTTGTCCTTGAAGCAGGTCAGTAGCAAGTCTGATTTGTTTGGGTGAGAAAGTACAGTGATGGTCATTTCAAGACCAGCTTGTGCATAGTCCAGCCAAGAGCACTTTGTAAGAGAGAGATTTCACTGATTTAAAGGTCATGACTTAATGGTGAGGTTTTATTTCAGGCAGTTGCGCACAACCTGGGCACTGAGAAATCTGGCTTAAGAACTCTCTCTCTTTTTAGCAATTGGAATGTTGGATGAAGAGATGCAGTGTAACTACTTTGGCCTTGATTTGACCTTCGTGAACTGTTTGCCTAGGAAAGGGTTTTTTTGTGTGTGAATCAGAGTAATTGCATTTTTCACATGAAATAGAATTTCATATGTTTGTGTATAATAATAACTGTGCCAAGTAACAAAGCCTTGTTTTACCCCTGCCCTTTCTGTAAATTTAATATTATAGTTTAATTTAACCATTAAGTGTGAATATATCTTTTCCTCAATATGCTTTTGTAGTTAAAGTATTGTCTTGGGGTGACTTTATGATGCTTGTATCCCCAATCGTCTGTTCTGTTGGTGTTGAATATTGAGTTCTGCAGCTTTAAGACTGGTTCCAGGAGTGAAGGGGGAGAGAGAAGAGGTGCAGAGTTTGTTATCAGAGACTGCACTTGCTCCCCGGCATCCTTCACACAGACTGTGTTGTCTGCAGTGGACAGCAGGAGAGAGCTCTCCTTTGCTCTTGGTTAGTTTTCTGGCTAGCTGAGGCAGAGAAGCCCCCTGGAGTGTGGGAATTTTTTTCCTTTTTTCTTGGAATTGTTCGAACCTGCTGTGGACTGGAAACCCAGAAGAGCACCAGGAGCTCACACCTGTGTCCCACCAGGCCTGGCCTGGCCTGGGCTGTGGCACTCCCCAGCACAGGAGGGACTGAGAACAGACTGAGTGAGCCGGGCTGCAACCCACGGAAGGGACTCTGCTGAATTTGTCATCTCTTTGGAACAGCGAGAGGTTTTGCTGTTTAGTATTGTTCATTTTGTGCTGGGGAGTGCTTTGCCTGTTAAATAAACAGTTTGGTTTTTTTCACTTCTCTCTAAGGAAATATTTTCCTGAACCAGTTGTGGGAGGGGCTGCTTGAATCTGTTTCCTAGACGGACCCCATTCAGAGGTTTTCTCCCTAAATTTGCCCTAAACCAGGACAAGTATTCTTATGTAATGAAATTTTATTCTTGTTAAAGTAATATATTAATAACTACCTTTTTATTTTTCTGCACATGACTAAATCTGGAAAAAAATTGATAGTAGCTTATAGAATTATTTATCTATTGCTGTATTTTCTGATTGTTAACCAGTAATTAACTGGAAGAAGTAAATTGTTTGAGTCCAGGAAGTTAGTGAGACAGTACTGTCATTCTGTATTTATGTGTCTAATTGCAAAATTCAAATTAGAAGCCAACCAAAGGATAGTGAGGTAATGTCAAATACAGTGTAATTATGACTTATAAAGAATCTTTTTATATAGTGGACTGCATGAAAAAAATAAAAGCCAAAATTAAGTTCTTATTTCAGTGTTGTTTTTAATTGCTACATCCTGCAGAGGTTTACTTTAGGGGAAGGGGAGGGAAAATTAATAAAGTGTGAATGAGGAACACCTTGAGTTGAAAAGATTCTGGGAAAAGGTAGTATTCATAGATGCACCAGGGTTCATAAAAACTACAAGATATTTAATTAGAGAAGAGAGTTAAATATTTCCATCATCATAGAGGGGGAAACTCAGCTAGTTACGCTTTCTGCTAGTTACCAAGGGGTTGGCCTTTTATTAGAAGCTCTTATACAGCAATTAAGTATTTTGTTTTAGGTATACCGAAACGTTTTTACACAAATGCACTCTAACCCCAGGCTGCTTGCTATTGGCAGATTAATGAGTGACAGTCAGTTAATTCTTACATGTACTGCAGTTGTCGTGGTGTTGCAGATTCAGAGCCATGTACTAGATTTAAGAAACCAAAGTGTTTCTGCTCTCCTAGATTGTAGACACTGAATTAATTGTCTTGCTTTTATTGTGATACTGACTTAGGATCACAGTCCAAGACTGTGGGTGTGTAACATGCACAGAGTATTTCCCCTGCAGTGGAGGTGAATGGCCACTTGTGGACCTTTGTTCTTCCTGGCTTTTTTTGCTCAGTCCTGAAAGTCCATTGTCAGTTGTACTGCAGCAGGTTCGATTTCCAGAAATTAAAGAAGTTTAAATACAAGCAAGGTATGATCTAGTTTGCACTTCAGCATTATGATGCATGATTGTCATGCGTTTTTAATAAGTAGCTTGCTGTAATTAGAGTAACAAAAATGGCAGGGTTGAATTTTAGGCATGTTTTTTCTAAGATGTATATTGACTGAATTCCTGCTTTTCTGCCTAATCCTCTGAGTAACTGTTTCCTCTGTAAAAAAGAAAACAAGCTGTATAATCAGTTGTATGTCAGATTAAAATGAGACAGTACTTGTTGCTGAGACTCACATAATGAAAATACTTCTTAGTATTTTTACTTAGAGCTTCAGATTTAAATGCATATGGGTGATGGGAAAACAAAGGACTGTGAGGAGTGGTAATTTCTGTGTTACTGTAGTAAGACAGTCATTGACTGAAAAGAATGAAAAAATGTCGCTATCTCAGCTGGTCTTTTTAGGGTCCAGAAGAAAAGGCAGAAGAGAACTTCAGGTAATTGGGTGAAGGTCGGGGTATAACAGAATACTTAATCTTCAAAACTCAGTGAAGCCTGGAGTGGAACATCGAATAGCCTAGAAGTATGACTTGGTAGGTCCTGAAGGAATGTATTTTATTTTCTGTTGCTCAGAGATCAAGAGCAAATAATAGGATTCATTTGGTCTCCGTCTAGACTATTCTTGAAATTACAGAAATATTAATATGAGACTTGGATGACAGATTTATCATAAAGCTGTATTGTCTGTAGAAAAATGGAAAGCCATAATGTTTCACTGTGATTTGAGTATTCCAGTCAATGAGCTCTAGGGTGCAGAATGACAGAGTGGTTTGGGCTGGAAGGGATCATCTAGTCTTCTTGTCTTGGGCAGGGACACCTTCCACTAAATCAGTTTGCTCGAAGCTCCTTTCAACATGGCCTTAAACACTGCCAGCGTCAGGCATCTGCAACTTCTCTGGGCAGCCTGTTCCAGTGTCTCACCACCACCCTCACAGTAAAGAATTTCCTCCTTACATCCACTCTGAATCTATTCTTTTAACCCTCTTTTAATTTAAAACCATTGACCCTTCTCCTGTAACTACAGTTGCTAGTAAAAAGTCTTTCTCCATCTTTATTGTAAGTTCTCTATATGAATGGAAAGACTCCAGTAAGATTCAGTTGGTCCTGACTTAGTACAAATCTCTTATTTGTGGGCTGATTTTTTACATTGTCATTTCCTGATATGTTCTTAATTTTGTTGCTGTGGAAGATAAGACATGTTAAAATTGCAAATAGTTTTTTATGGGCTTGCATAAAAATGGATCTTCTCTGCCTGATATTTCCAATGGGCCTTTCCAGGTGAATGTGTTCCTTCTCCATAATATCATGAGAGTGATTAATTGGTATCCATCTTTCCACTATGTCCTGAACTTTGTGCACCTAAAACTCATGGGAGTAGAGCATTTTCTTACTTTCTGATCGTTTCATTCACAATCCATTCAATATTTATTCTGTATACTTCTGTTTAGTAGTTCTTTCTTCCCACCATTATTAATTGTATGTTTTCTTGCTGGTCAAATGACATTAAAGGAAGTGGTGTTTTTCTACTTATCAAAGAAGTTAATGTAAGCATATGCCTGCCACATAGAAAAATTCTCTGCTGCCAAAATGCCTTGGCCTTTCAGGCCACCTGTAATAAAATCTCAAGTCTGGAAGAGTTATTGATAAATGAAGAAAAAGTTATTTGTAGTATCTTCTGGTTAATCTTTGATACCCGTAAGGATGTTTGTTAAACAGTGAGCTATCACAGAACCCAGTGTTGCTCAAAAGTACTGAGTTTTTCTGTTGAATGGGAAGCAACTATTTACACTTGCTGGTAAATAGTGTCTGCTGCTTGGAAAGCTTTTTACTGTTATGTTTTGTTGTTAGCATTAGGCTTTTGTTGTCAGCTGTGCCGATCTAAGTATCTACAGTCTTTGGATAACTCTGGGTACTAAATATCTCAATTTGTAGTAAATTGCTGAATTGCAAAATTATATTCCTTGGTTTTGGTATTTCACATCTTAAGATGGATTTTTCAATCTGTGTTGTAAATGACAATATGTCAATGAAATAATAAATTTCATATCTTTAGTGTGGATAAATTTGGACTGTCATGTAACATGTATGTTTTTGTTTCCTATTGCAGGTTATCTTCCTGGAAAACATATTTTTTTGTGCATAAAGAATATCTTGCTGAGTTGCTGCAACTGAGTTTAGAATGTTACTTGACTTGTGATTCTGATGGAGGAATAACAAGAGCTCAGGCTGCTGCACTGGAAGACTTTACAGGAAATACAAAATGTCATCGAATAGGAGTCAGAACCCGCATGGACTTAAACAGATTGGTCTCGATCAGATATGGGATGACCTAAGAGCTGGAATTCAACAGGTTTACACCAGACAAAGTATGGCAAAATCCAGATACATGGAACTCTACACGTATCCTAGCGCCTATGGTAGTTAATGCTTTCACTTCTAGTAGATTAGAGGTCGCTTTTTACTTTTTTAGACACAAAATTGCTCCAGAACTATTTCACATAGTGGTTTTTAAGAATGCATGGTTTTGTTTTGAAGATTGGCCTTTTCTATTTAATATGACTGGCAAATAGCAGGAACATTCTGTTGTCTGGAAAACTGGCTTCTATAATTATTAAGGCTATCTCTGTATTTCAGGTTTGATTACTATTACCTTTAATAGAGCACATGTTTAAAGAGATTTTATTAGTAGGTCAAATTTTGAGACCACAATGCACACAAAGCAAACAGAAATTCTTCTTTTTTTGTTAGTCTTTGGCATTATGGTTCAGGTCTTATTGATAATCATGTTCAGTTACCTGGAAATTTTTCAGTTGTTATTTTCTGTGTAATACTTCACTTTTGACTTGATTGTGTAATTTTCCAGCTGGAGTGAGAATGTCTCCAGTGGATGTTGCTTTAATTCCTAGCTTGCATGGGAGAGCTGTTTTCCAGCATCTTCCCATTCTGAGTGTTTTTATAAGATGCCAGAAGGGGGTTAACATTCTTGTACAAGTGTGCTGAGGTACTGTTTGGAAGATTGTAGGAAATTTGTTTCTGTCGGGTAATGTATAAGGACTTTTTAAAACTAATTTGAAGGAGAAATGTGTCTCTTGTTGTATTATAGCTTCAGTGTTTGACTTTAGGACTTCATTGAGAAAGGAAATTCTTTTTTATTTCATGTATAAGGTGGCATGTAAATGGATTTGATGACCTTTGTTTTGCATCTTTTATTCTGCCTTTACTCTTGTAACCTTATATTGCTCAGCACTGTTTAAGAAGGTGGTGGATCTACACGCTTTGCTGTACATGTGATAGAAAGGATGACTGACTATATTTCCTATCATTAAGTAGTTCTGCTAGTTTTCTGTATCCGTTTTTAGAGCTGAGTTTTTTAATGAAGTTTTTATTCCAAATTCGTGTCTATAGCTATTGCTGGCACTGATTTGGAATTGCAGCATATAAATTTCTAGTCTGTATTAATTTTTTTGAAAGGAAAGAACTTTTTATAAAAGAAAGAGGAGCTTAAAGGCTATGAACCAGTCAATTCTGTAGTCCCTGGACTTTCTAAGGAGGTAGAAAAGTTTTTCTGTACATGTAATCTTAGCCTTAACGTGTAATCTTTTCTATCTTTGCCTGCAGAATCCATGCTCCAGGGTGTGGTGGGAGAAGCCCTGAGCAGCCTGCTGAGTGTTTCTAGGATACTTCTTTAATAGTGATGGAAACATTAGAAAACATTTGTTTAGGGTCAGAAGTTTTCCTAAGATTTAAAATTAGTGATTTCATGCAGCACTAGGTTCAACGTTGGTTTTGACTCAGGGAAACAAGTCTGTAAAAATTGAACGTGTGATAGAAATTTCACATGTAGTAGAACCTCGGAGTTTTTTCTTCTGAGTGTGTTTAATATATTCTTGTTCATGAGGTCTGTTAAGCAGGGCAGCTGAAGACTAAGTACTGATTGTAATGTTAAAACTGGCTTTTTCCCTCTCCTGGTGTTCTCAAAAATGCTCAGAATGAAACTGTAAAAAAATGTAAAAAAAAAAAAAAAAAGCTGTCTCTTACTTACTCATTTCCTCCTTGCTTCTGCTTCAAGGAGTTGTTGGTTCAAAACTAAGGACTGTTTTTGTTAATTTTGTAAGTGAATTAATTTAGGGGGTAATTTTGGTGGTAACTTGGATTAATACAATAGTTCAATAACTCAATTTTTGATACTGGTTAGGCTGAGTATTTAATCTGCTATGAAGATAGCAGTGTGTTTTGCATCCTATACCAAGTACATGTATTCAAAAGTTATGCTTAAAAGATTACACCCCTTTCAAAGCAGTAACTGTGACATATTTGCCCAGTCTTCACATACAGCAAGTCTTGTAGTCTGGTGGGCTTTTATTTCAAGAAGCTTTGCTTATCAACCAGCTTAGTTTGGAAGGCAGAACAGCTGAAGATGAGTTTCAGCTGTAGCTGTAATTGGTCTAAAGATCAGCCCTACTTACAAGAATGTCTTGACAATTGACAGTTTAGTCTTTCCTCATCCCCTTTCGTCCTCTTTCCCCACCCACCCCCTTTTTTTTTCTTGTCAGGATATTGCTCCTGAAGTGGATTTCATTTCACCCCTCTAATTTATGAGGGGAACTGTGCATACAAGCAAACCTACCTTCAGTCCTATATCTGCTGTCAGTTTTTCAATCAAGATTGATTTGAGATGTAGAAGATTTTGTTGTTCCTTGGTCAAGTCCCTCTGGAAAAGAATTAGAATAGTTATACAATTCAAGCAGTTCAGACCTCTGTCACACCTGCACTCGTTTCCTTTGTTTAGAGAGTCTCTTTTTGTGAAACACTAAATTCAGTCTCTTGAGTACAGGCTGGAGCCTGTGCTTCAGGTGGGTTTTTTTTCCCCTTCATTTCAGTGGGAGAAGAAACAAGTTGATTATTCCAGGAGTTTTCTAGATCTGAGAGTACTGAAGAAGTGAATGAAAACTTGTTTCTGAATGGTGGTCACCAAGTTTCTCATCTATACTTCTAGATATATTTGTGCTTTTAATTGCAAGGTACCTTTTATTGTGAGACCAGATAATAATGTATTTCCTTCTTGTGTGGTTTGTTGTTTTGGTGTTTCATTTTTTCCCTTGATATGTGAGATTCTTGTAAATGAAATCTAGATGTTTTTCTGTTCCTTACTCAGATATTATGTACTTTCTAGTAGTGAAGGGCCTAGTCGTTCCTACAACAGAAATTAACATCATCTGACCACCACTATTACAGGCTAGCTCAGAATTACATGCCAAGCATTAACTTTATGCCAAAAAGAGAAATAGTCAATAAAATTAACTAGATTTCTAGGAACAATAGATGTAAAAGCACTACTATTAGTGTGTGGGGGAAGGGCCTGTTTTACCCTGTTTTCCATTTAGTGATTATTAATTTGGAGGCTGTAATCCACAGGACTTCCTTGTAAAAGTCAGTGTTAGTGGTATATGTATACAGAATATGTCCTGGTGGCATTTAGTCTGTTTGGAGGAAACTTCAATTAGTCTGTCCAAGAGAGAACGGTATTTTTGTGTAGCAAGTTTTGAGTTTCTGTTTTGAATAGACGGTTGAAAATCTATTACTTGGTTTACCAGAATAATTCTTACTCATTTATATTGCTGTAGGCCACTTGTCTTTATAGCCGCCTCTTCATAATTCCATTTCGCAGTGATAAAATATTCATACATCTTGTGCTATTTTCTTCTCTTTTGGCAGAAAGTGATGTCCATTTTTCAAACTAATTGTATGGTGAGCCTGCAATTTATTTTCCTCAGATCTCATTGTATGAAAGGGTGAATTGGGGTTTACTCAATATTTGTATTGAAACTCAATGGAGACAGTGAAAGGGTTTTGTTACTTTTCTTATTTTATGTATCTTAAGAATATTCTCAGGCCAAGTACTAAAATGTCAGAAAACTTTACTGCACTGTATCAAAGTAGTGTATTTTTTCACGGTGGCTTAGACAAAGAGCTGAGTAACTTTCCTAAAATACTTACCTTTTTCATTGAAGCACACATCAACAATTTTCAGATAGAATTGGTGAATGAGATTAGTGGTGTGCTTCTGTGTTGTACATGTGCACTGTTATTTGAAATGAGAAAATTTTGACATAAACTCATGCTTTCACTGCCCTGATTTACAAAACATAAGCTAAAAAGCATTTTTAGGGATTCTTTTAAACAATGTAGTTAATTTATGCCCATACAGAACAGATTAACTTTTTGTCCAAGTTTAATATTTAAAGAAAATTTGCGAAAAAGAAGACGAGTTCAAAGATTCCAATTGCTATTAATTTGTAACAAATAAGATTTATATCTGCATGAAGATATCTTAAAATGTTTTCATTGATAAGAAGAGTTTATAATACTGTGGAAGGTATGATGTGGTTGTTTAAATAAGATAAACTGCAATGTCCAGATTGCAGTGTTCAGATTGGCTTTCAAAGTCTTTCAAATGTTACATACATAAAAATTACATTGTTGATTTCTACAAGTTCCTAAGAATACATTTGAGTAGTTCATTGGCAGCATGATCTTATGTGGAAATTTGAAGAAAATGACTGAATTTATTATGATTTAAAATTTGCTCAAGTCTTACACCAGTAAATTGGATCTTAAAAATGTGTTTCTTATTCCATTATTAGCCATCATTAGTAAATATTTTCCAAATAGTTGCTTGAAGTTTGTCAAGGATCGGTAAAGGCTAGGCTGTTCTGTCACATTGCATTATTTTATGAAAAGTTCTTGCTTATTGTAGTTCAATTTTGTCCATTTATTTTAACAAAGTGTGTCTACTGAATATCCATTGGATCAAATGTAAGTAACTGTATATCAGAAAAGGTTACTGTAATCATTTTATAAAATGGGAATTTTTTTCTCACATATTAGCAAGCGATATAGGAAAATTCTGTGTTGAACATTAAATAACTAAGTGTAGTATGTTTACACTTTAAAAATACCAGATGACTCAGGATAATCTGTCTGTTCATAAAATAGAAAGTGTAAATACATTTAACTTTCTTTTTCCTGTGTGTAGATTCAGTGCTAGTAGTGTATGTTGACCAAGCAAAACCATGAAGCCCTTTTCCTGGCATCCATTTGCCAAGGTCTTTTGCAGTTACTTCTATTGCAATCTTTTTCCTTGTTGAATTCCTGTGTTTTAGTAGGAGTTTAGATCAGCAGATGCATATTAAAGCTGTGAAAATATTTTATTTTTTAATCACATGAATCTGTTTTTACCAGGCAGCACAGTATGTTCTTGTTTTTTCTTTCTGAACAGACTATTACTTTGTTTCTGTGCAGGAAAGCTACTGAGGTGTTAGGGCATGCACTTTTTATTTACATCTCAGACACTGTTCCACTTTCTCTTAAGATTCTATCACTCTAAGCTATCCTTTCAC